ACACTGTTTACAAACACCACCTATAGCTAATCATTAATAAATTCAAAGTCATTAAACTTTACATTTTGGAAGTCTACGCCATAACGCTGCAGCTCTACAACGCAGGATATACCTCTGGCTCTAGCATAGGTGTACCATACGATGTACCATAAGAAAGAGGGCTGGGCCTAAATGAAAAAAAGGTAGCTCTTATGGGAAAATATTCATAGCAGTTAAATTCAAGGACTTTGTGATCTTTCTGTCCTCTTACCCTAAGAAGTTCCAATTCTATTAAAAGTTACAACCACTAATGGCAGCTGAGAATGAGGCTGAAACTACTGATATCTTGTTGACTGACAGTTTTGCTCAGGTAAATATTAAGTAAGCTCATCCGTCAGAAATGAAACAGCTTTACTTCCTTCCAAACATATTTAAAATATTGGAACACAATTGTTTCATTATAGAGACTCGTTTTTTTGTTTGTTTGGTTTTTTTTTAATAGTCTCTTTTGTAGCCTAAATTTTTTCTTCTTTTTTCCAGTAATGTTCAATAAAGTCACCACTGCACAATACACAAAACACCTAAGGCATTTAAGTAGAAATGAGCAAGGCATTTAGCTTAACCCTAGAGTCATATTTCTTTGTGTTTGACTTTATTTTATTGCTAACACACAAGTACCCATGCAAATCTTAATTGAGAATTACTTACAGACTACTAAAGAGGAGGAACTTAATTTCTTCATCATGTTCTATGAGCTGCCCCCTCCCCCGATTCCTATTTAAACAACAGTAGAATACTGAATTTAAGGTTGTATCATTTGCTCCACAAATAGCAGGTCTTCAGCAAAGGTTCTTTCAGTCCAGCTCTGAAATGATGAGATCATTAATTAGGCATAATTATAGTGACAATGATATTTACCTCTTTGAGACAGCCCATAAAGTTGTTACTGACTGGTGACCCTGGAAGGTCTGCTGTGCTGGGACTGCCTCCAACATAGAAAAAGTCATCAGACCCCAGCATGGTGTAATCTTCTTGCGTGTAGCCCGTTGTGGTAAGAATCCCATCCACTGATATTGTCACCTAGATAACAAAGCACAGGGAAAGGACACGCTATACTCAGACCTACATACTGTAATCCTGGGATATGCCTGTTTTGTGTTTTGTTTTGTTTTATTATTTTTTTTCATTTTGCTTTTTGCTTTTTTTTTGTTTTTGTTTTGTTTTGTTTTTTTCTTTTTTTTTTGTTTTTTTTTCTGTTTGTTTGGTTTTTACTTTTAGACCTATGGCGGAACCCATTTTCATGTCTGTTTGAGGTTTATTCTTAGATTCTAGTCAACTACCCTAAGCGATCTAAACTAGTTAGCGAGTTAACTGATTATCGAACTAAGTGTCAGCATCATCCCTACTGCAACTCAAAAGTTATTTAGCAGACACAAAAATGGTGTTAGTAAAATGCTTCCTAGGTTAGTTTGGCTGGTGTACGTATTAGTAAAGTTCCATCGTCTGTTATTAACTAATCACAACAAGCACCTTGATAACATAAAAAGGCACAAGCTATTTCTAGCAACGTCACTATTCGCACTATTGAGCAGCAGTTGTTCAACATGCAAGTGCCTAGGTTCATGCCAAAGGGGAGGAAAGGCAAAACAACCAGTGGAAGCAGCACACGCGGATGTGCACATGCAGGAGGTACAGTACAGATCAGAAAGGAAAGGAAAGGAAACAGGGAGAACCAAAGGAAAAAAAACAAAAACAAAACAACTGCTCTGTGATGACGGGAAGATGAGTGGGTGTGGCACCTCCAGCATTCCCAAATCAAGTGAGCATGCCATGCATCATGAATGGTTAGAGACTGGCTGAGCCTGCGGTCACTCAGGCCAGCCACCATTTTGTCTTATCCCCGTGTTAACCACAGCTGGATGCAAAAACGTTCGAAACGTTAACGATGCCCCTACAGGTGAGTTGGAAAACGGAAGTTGACAGGAACAGGTAAAAAATAAGAAGGTCAACAACAGATGAAAAGAAGGAGGTCAAAGTAAGCAGAAGAGTACCAACCGCAGTTCCTCTTTTGTTAATGATGTCTACAGTTAAAAGAAAGAAAGAAAACACACGGCAAACCCAAAATAAGAAACAATTAGAATGATATCTACCGAACAATGTAGTTTGTTTACCATAGCGTGTCCAATGCCTGAGTGCTTTGTGGAGAAGGGGGGAGAAAGGAAATTAAAAACTGTGAACAGAATAACGATCGTTACTTAAAAAATATGATGGTCTCTACCATGTTAGTACATTTTTTGATTCAGGTAACGGTTAGTAGAATGAAACATTCCATGAATGACATGTTAGTTATTAAGCATGTTAGTAACATAGAAAAAGGGCAAAAAAATTTTACAAGAAAAAAGCAGACTAACAAATAGGCCTCCCACAGAGGTAATATTTTTTTTCCTGACAGTATTGTTCAAAACTTGCTACTAGACAGAAACGGACATAAGGCAACATTCCCTTTGTCTCCCTGAGCGCATCTGACAGACATTTAAAAAGGCTGAAAGGGATTCAAAGGCCTAAAGCTCATCAGCTGACCACTGCCGCCCTAGGCCCAGAGTGACCCCTCCCCCACCCTGACCCGCCCCAGCCCCAGCAAATCCGTAGGAATCGGTTGGCATTGCCCTACTACTCAATTTTACAGCATACAAGGACTCCTCCTCAACTCCAAAACTTCCTTCGGTCATATTGATGGACTTTAGGATCACAGTTTACTGCAATGAAACAAAGCAAAGATCCTGACACATAAAATGAGTAGAATGGATTTGTTTTTAATCTGTCCTGCCACACATGCACCCCGGCTGTATAACTACAGTTTTCCTTGGAACTATAAATTCACAGTTTGGTTTACCACCTGAGCAAAGGCAAATCTAGAAAGTGGGCTCCTTAAGCCCTACCCTTCCTTCTGTGCTTCTCTCAAATGAGCCTCCGGTCTCTTGGTGAGTATCTGAGAGAAGAAATGAAAAAGGAAAACCAAAGAGACACACTTATCGGAAATCCGTGTTCTACAGCTACAATGATGGTGGGCGACCGTCTCCCAGGGCAGGTGGGGAGCATGCAGGCCCCTCCCATGCCACTAAGGCCTCTGAAAAGTCTTTGGTGGAGGGTGGGGGTGTCTCGAGAATCCTTCAGTTTTACTTGTCTGCTTTAGCTTGACTATATCTGCACTCCTAAAATTCCTTTTTGCTTCTCTGCCTTGGAGAGTTTAAGCTTTTCGGAAGTGGGAAAGAAAAGATTAGACAGTTAACAGCTCAGACAGAGAGGGCTGTTTTAGTAAAGGAAAACCAGAGACAATCCAGTCATTCTGCAACTGTTCAGAAAAACAACAAATATGTTAAGGATATTAGTTTGAGATCAGCATGTACTGCAGAAAAATTAGTCACTTTTTCAACATTTCACAAAATGATACATTGTCATATCATTAAATTCCAAATAGTAACCAAAACTCATAACGTTCAATAAATAAGGACAAATCTATTCACTTTCATCTGTGTGTGTGTGTATATATATATATATACTGTAATAATATATCTCAGTTAAAAACATACAGTATATGTGGACCTGTGGACCCATGCATTTACTGAAGAATTGATATTTTCCTAGTATATAGACATTTGTAAGAATTAAAAAAAATACACTTAAATGGGCACCTAGAAAAGCTGGCCTCTCAAGAGTCATTGGGGGTTTAGCTTCAAGTGTCTGTGCTAAAAATAAAAATATACTCATAAACAGACCCTTCAGGAGATATGTAAACTCCCAAAGTAATTTTTCCCCTCAGGAACTTTTCTTGTCCCCATTTCAGAGGTGGGGGTGAGGAGGGAGTAGGGAATTGATACAATCCCTGGTCACAAACACACCGTTTTTTTTTTTTTGTTTTTGGGGTTTTTTTACTACAAAAAAGGAACTGTGATTTAATGACCCCAATGCGCATGCTTCCAAATGATCACCATGGGAATTATAATTGAAAATCAAACAAAGAAAAAAATCCAAAACACAACAAAATCACACACATCACAGGAAGGGCAGGTCGCAGAGATATCCTCTCAGCCCTCTGGGAAACTGTCATATGTCGCTGTATCAAAATACCATTTGGGCCCCCAGAACTTTCTAGATATGCCCCTGCTCAAGTATGGCAGGAAGATTCATCCCAAAAGAAGAAAAAGCTAATTTGTAAGCAACTCTGAGGAGCCCTAGATCATGTTGTTGGGGTTTTCAAGGGCCACACACACAGCTGTAGCAAGAAACACAGCCAGTTACTCTCTTATCCACTGCGCTGTTACCTGACGCAGATTCCTGGTGACTTTCACATCATGCCAGGCATTATCATTAAACTTTCCATTCACGGGCTCCACTAGTGCTTCAAAGGCCCCTGATCCCAAATTAATGACCAGAGAGACAGCTCCATTTTTCAGGGCCAGATTGACATAATCAGCCGATTTCCCGGTGTGAAGCATCAGTCCATTCCTCTGAAGGGTTTTAAAGGACAGAGTTATTTCATCGCTGCTGCTCTGAATGGGGTTTTGAGACAAGTCGTAGCAGAAGTATTCAGATCCCTTGAAAGTGGCAATATACTCTTCTTTTCCTAGAGGAAAGCAGACACATACGTGCATAAGTAAAGCAATATACTGTGTAAATCAGTGAATCTCAATAGAAACAAGACTTAATCAGCCCCCAAATGAACTCTTTGTCTAACGTTTATGATGAGAGCCCTGTCACAGAGTCAAACAGTACTGTTAGGGGGCAGTACGTATTTAACAAACCTCCTCAGCTACTGGGCCCATCAACTGCAGTAGCTAAAGCTGACGTTCTTGAAAATTCAATTAATTTTTAAGTATCACTGCAAGAGCTCTGATCAGAGAAAGTAGCTCCGTGATATCTCCAGGGCACAAATCAGGTACCATAAATGCATATTGGATGGTTCTACTCTGTTGGCAACAATGGATTCCAATGTGTTTGCAAAATTCTCTCTTCCCAACAGAGGCATTCTTTTAATGGTTAGTGAGACATTTATATTTAAAGATCTTCTCAGTGAAAAG